ACCTGTGGGAAAGTGAAAAGGCGAACCCTGGATGATGCTTGGTGGCTCACCATTTCCCAGCCCGTCACTTTTCCCCACAGACTCCATTCCCCACTTTTCTAAAGACAAGCCAGAGATGTAATGGCACCTAAAGTAGGGTCATGTCCCCCCTCTGTAGAAGCTGGAAAGATGGAAAGACATCCCAAGGGAACAACTATTACCTCTTGCTCAGCACAGCGGGTTCTCTCTGGTGCTAGATGTATCTTCACAGATTAACAGACAAGTCAGAGTACGTGGTGCCATGGAGCACTCTTGAACCTTTGGGGCCTCGGGTCACTTAAACCTCCAGTAATCACTGAGTATCCTAAGAATTTGTGAAGTCCCTGCAATATTTGCCATATTGGAAATCACAGGGTTTCTGTTGTTGTTGTTGTTTTGAGGCAGGGTCTCACTGTGTAGCCCTGGTTGGCTAGGAACTCACTTTAGAGACTAGGCTGGCCTTGAACTCACAGAGATCCACCTGCCTCTGCCTCCCCAGTGCTGGGATTACAGGTGTAGGCCACCATGCCCAGTTTGTTCTCTTCTTTATAAAGAGTTTGTTTGCTCCACAGTTTTAGAGAGTGGAGTCCAAATTACATCTCATAACAGTGGAAGTGTGTGTGTGTCTCTTGTCTATATTCTATTTTTTTTGTGATGCCACATGGCCTCTGGAAAACTCCAGGGAACACTCATGAGAGAATGAAGGTGAAAAGGCAAAGAAACCCAGCCAGTGAGCTAGTTCAGTGACTACAGACACTTGCCATCAAGCTTGATGACATCTTTCCCTAGAGCCAATGTGTAAGTGAAAAGAGAGGGCCAACTGCACAGTCATCTCCCAACCTTAACATGAGGACCATGGCACACATGCCCTCCATCATATACACATATATACACTAAACTAACTTCTTTCAGAAGGAAAAGGTCAAGAGCCCTATTTTATTATGAAGCTGGATTCCAACGTTAGGCTCCCTGGAGAGGTCTCAGGGACCTCCTGCTCAGTGCATCACTGTCTATCGTGAGGCACCGCTTGCCACGCAGCCTCAAAGAGATCATGTGACCTGGCTCCAGTTGTCTTATCTGCCTGCTGGGGTTGTGGTTCCTGCTGAGCCTGTCTTACTGGGCCATTTCCAGACTCGGCTCAAGACTGTGAGGCCTCTCTCCCTAAACCAAAGCTGTGTAGTTATAAACAGCATCACCAAGGAGCCTTTGAAGTATGTGTCATCTTTGATATGTAGGACAGTTATTTTTAAAAGGCTGAAATCCTGTCTAAAGCCACTGGTTGTGAGGACACCTGCGTGAAGCCATTCATTATTCTCAGTTTACAAGCAAGGTGGTGGAGGCATGGGTAAGCCGATTGGCCAGAAAGCCAATACATTGTCCCCAGTGTATAATACCGATGCCCTGTTCCTGAGGCACACTGGCTCTGGATGACTTGGCTAGAGTTCTTATCTGATGTGGGGCTGTGTTTTTGACACACTGACACATTCAAACAGCTTGCCACTGTCAGCAATTCTCTGCTTAAATTACCTTCCACTTGAGTCACCTAAGCTTTGAAGCTCTAAGACATCACACAGAGAAAACCAGTTTAGAACTCCTTGGAGTGCAGATTTTTTAGTCAGCTAGATTGCTGGGTGTGGTGGCACACACCTATAATGCCAGCACTTAGGGGTGGAGGCTGGAGGGTGGGGAGTTCCTGGCCAGCCTGGGCTATATAGCAAGCCATCTCAAAATAACAGATCACCAGCCCTGGGATGGTAAATGGCTTGCCTTGGTGGATAGGGGGTTAAGCTGCCTTTGGACTCCCAGGTGCTAGAATTATACCTATGCGCACCTGTGCCCAGTGGTTCATGTGTTTTGACAGGTAAAGACCTGCCCATCTTCTGGAGGTGTTAGTCCTTATAAACGACCCATCTCACGGGTCATTTCCCAGGAAAACAATGTTCGGTGCACTCAGCTCTGAAGCAGCCTGCTCCATCTTGGAGGATCATTTGTGACAGGTGACAAGGAACCACAGTTGGGTTTGGAACTTGGGAATGGAGCAGAAAGCACACGTCTCTGGCAACTGGCTGTTCAAATAGTACTTAGGAAAATCTTGAGTTGAGTTAAATCCCACTACCTCTGCTCCAGAGGCAGAAGCGCCCCAGCAAAGAGCTGTACCTAATTACAGTGCTGTGCCAGGGATAGGATGTAGATTGGCCTTCCTCTCCCTCCCCACTTCACTGTAACTATTGTAGGTACTAAGGTGTGTGTTTCAGTCTCATGGTTTTTCAGAGTCCACTTCGATTGCATTTGATAGACGTTCAGTTCCAGCTAGCTTGAATAAAATAGAAAGCAAGGGTGAAAGTGGGGTGGCGTCCTACGAGGGAAAAAAGTGGAATGTAGTTCTGTTGGGTCCTTTCAGACCAACATCCTCATGGATATCCTCCATGCTTCCATTCCATTCTTTTAGCCACCTCAGCGGGAAAGTTTCCGAAACTCTTTTGGATAAAGTCTTATTAGTCCTAATGCGTTGATTGGCTCTTTCCCCACTATGGCTAGGAGTACACATTGCTGATGGGCCAGCCTCCGTCACTTGACCATGACTGGGCCCAGAGTAGCTCCACCAGAGACTGAGGCCTGAGGCTGAGGCTGTTGGGTTGGGCAGGTGGGGAAGATCTTGATTTGTGGGCTCCCGTACCTCAGTACTTCAGGGAAATTGTCACTCAAGTAGCCACAATTTCTGACAAAATTAAGAATGAGCTCACTTTGTCTCAGTAGAGATGACCCTGCTAGCTGTGACCGTTTTGATGAACAGATCTCTGGTGGTTGGAGGGAGCTGATCATGTGACGCCCAGGTGTGTAGCTCACTGTTGGGGAGATGTGATGAGCAGACCTGTCTCTTGGGCACCCCGTGCTCTTGAATGGTCACATTCTCAGTACCCAGGCTGGGGGTTGGGGGTGAAGGCACTGCCCAAGGCATCTTCAGAAATACTCAAAAGACAAGGGCTTGACAAGTCCCAAATATGACCAGGTCATTCTCCTGAAATCTCAGCCTCCCAGGAAGGCCAAGGTCAGAGGGTTGTGAATTCAAGGTCTTCTTGGGCTACAGAGGGGGGATCCTGTCTCAAAAAAAAACAAAAGAAAACAAAACAAAAACTCTAAAAACCAAACCAAACCAAAACAAAACAAAACCCAGCCTCTACTATCCCACCCCACTGTGGTGATGACTCACAGAATCTGGAGCTGAGTTGGGTAAACTTGTAGACATCACCACAGAAAGACGCCAGCCCTTGCCTAGGGCTTACGTAACTGAGGGCCTAGACTAATGGATCCTGAACCATCTGGGCATCCTAAAACATGAAAGCCTGTGTACTTCCTGATTCTTAGGAAATTCCCATTTTCCTCTAGGAAGGACCGTTTCAATTAGCTGTATACAATACAAACCCCCCCCCCCCCATGACAATGACACAGAACTGGAACAAAAGCTTGTGTCAGAAGTGGGATTTGGGCTCCTGAGCTCCCAAGGGCAGCAGAGGCCACAGCGTCATGTTCCGGAAGGCCAGCTGTGTTGTCAGACTTATCTACAAGCCCCCGGCCTTCCATGATAAGGGGATGATTAGAATTGATCCAAGCCTTCTTCAGCTCCAGGAGACCCTACAATTCTACGTGTACAAGACAAGTTTTTAAGAAGGTTAATTGTGAGGAAGGCCCTTTCCACCTTGCAGAAACCTGGCTCCCCTAGATGCCTGAAAACATGGCCATTCCCTGCCTCTTCTCAGCTCTCCCAAGCACCACCCCTCCCCCGCCTCGCCCCTCAGTGTTCTTCCCCCTCAGACCTCTGTGCAGACCCTACCTGCTCCCTTGAAGGTTTTCCAGAAGTCTCCTCTGCAGTAGCTAGTCTGATGAGGGTCTCTGTTGCTGCTTTCCATAGCATCCCCACACTGGTTCTAGAATGGGTGCATCTTCAGACTGCCCTGAGGCCAGCGTCCCGCAGATGGTAAGCCGGCACTCAGTGTTTAATATTGATGAGCCCCAGGGGTTAGGGCTTCGTGGGAGGGTGGGAAATGGCACAGTCATATGAACTGAAGCCACCAAAGGCAACTGAGCGTTCTTCCCCAGAGGACGGAGAAGGTTTTAACCCACATGGGGCTTTCTGACAGCCACTGGACACAATTTACAAGTAAATGACAGGCTATGGTGGTGACTGCCTAGTAAATCTCAGCACTGGGGAGGTAGTGGCAGGAAGACTGAGAGTTCAAAACCATAGCAAATCTGTTCCAAATGCCTAAGTGAATGAATAACTGAAAAACTTGCGTGTGAATGTGGCATTTTCTTCTCAGTCACATGGTCAGCGTGAAGCTCTCATGTATCTGGTGGCCACTGATTGGGCAATGTGGATTCTGGATCCTCCTTACAATGCTGACATGTGTTGGGGGGTGGTGCCAAGCCTGGCACTGGCTTGGAAAGTGGTTCGTGGTCCCAGCGATGTGTGACTTCCTTCCAGGTGTTTCTGGTCATATGCAGCAGGTCTTTGCAGCTTCCTTCCAGAACCTGATGGTATGTTCTTTATCTTCCTCCTCCCCACCTCCCAACTACAGGATGCACGCCAGAAATTCCGATCTGTCCTGGTTGAGGCCACTGTGAAACTAGACGAGCTGGTGAAGAAAATCGGCAAAGCTGTGGAGGACTCGAAGCCCTACTGGGAGGCCCGCAGGGTGGCGAGGCAGGTAAGACGCCTTGGATGTCTGCACGCGCCCCATGTGAAAAGGCCACGGCTTTGTGCAAGGGTGGCTGCACCCGATCAGCCTTCTATACCCGCACTCATCAGCTCCATCAAAGCTCGTGACACCATCAGTACAGTGTGAGTGCTGGTTTGGGTGTCCTTGTCACAGGACTTGGAGAGCTGTACTTATGGGCCTTGTGAGCTTGTCCAAAGCTTCTGTGTGTCCCTCCTCTCCTAGTGGCTGCCTGAGAGGCACAGGTCCGAGCGACTCCTGAGCACTGCTCGCCTCCTGCCTTGTTAGAGTTTGTGTTGACAGTGGCGAAGCTCCACATACGTGGAATTTTGTCTAGGGTATTACATACAGACGGAATCAATGAGCGAACAAGTGAATGACGGGCCTGGGGGACCATGAGCCAATCCAACATCCTCTTCTATCTCCCTAACTCAGAATTCTCCACTCCTCATCACCCACATCCCTCAAACTCCTTCCTGCTCATGTCTGGTTGAGCAAAGCAGTCTGGTTGGCTTGATCCAAATCATGCTTGGTGGAGGGTCCTCCATCTGGCTATGGCACACCCCGGAGTGGGGTTTACAGCCATCCTGTCCTGTACCCCGAATCCTCTTTGGGACAGGTGGGAGGGAGCTGTATTGCGAGGCACCTCATCTGCTGGGAAGCAGTGGGTTGTGGCATATTTCTTCCTTCTCATCTCTTCTCTCGCCACTAAGGATGGTAGTCAAGATCACACTGAGTCCCTTGGGCAGCAATTCAGTTATCAGGTGTAGCCAACCAGGTTCTAGCAGCCGGGTGACTGGCTGAGACAGGCAGAGAGCCAAGATGAGATCTGAGCCTGCAAAGCCTCTCTCTGACCTCTTTCCCAATGGCTGGTGGGGAAGTAGGGTGAAGGGTTGAGGAGCCCCGGCCCTTAGCTCCAAGGGGCCCTGGTCTCTAACAGAGGTCCTGGAAGGATGTGAAAGGCTGAGGGCAAGCAGGATGTTACATTTCATTCTGTGGGTGACAGGGCACCTGGCTTGGGCCAGACGTTGTGAGTAGCCCTGTGACCTCTGTGATGGTAGGAGAGTGTCTACCTCAGCTGCTGCCAAGTGGGGCTTCCTGTTTACTTCCTCTGCCTCATCTCCACCCCCTTCCTTTTGATGTTTGCCAACCCTTCCTACCATGCCCAGCAAGGGTGGTATCTGAGAGTCCTGCCAAGCGCTTCCTTCAAGTGTTCGTCATGAGCTTCTGCATCCCACTCTTCAGACGCTGGTGGCCCAAGGGCCAGCATTGTTCTTAGGACTTAAATGAAAGGATGCATCTGACACTAGGATCCCTGTATGAACTTGGATTTCAGTGTCACTTAAAAAAAATAATTTATTGTGGAAAATTTAGAACCAGCTTACTTGCTCCCTCCTCCCCTCCCTCCTCCTCTTTTTCCCCCTCTTCCTCTTCAAAGGTGGTTTCATACATCTGGAATGCCTGCATCCCCGATCCAGCATCTCATTGAACCCCACAGGGTACTTACAAGGAGAAAAAGCTTTCCTACAACTTGGCTTTCTGTGAAGTTTAGAAAGACGTGGAGTCATAGGACCAGCAGAACTCTGCGTTGCCTTGTTCTCAATGTCAATCATTTTCCTAACAGTGAATCAGACCCATCCTGTGACCCCGACGCCAAGTTGTACAAAGGAGAGCCAGACCATGCCATCTTTTCTGAACTGGACTGGGGGCAGGAGACTGGCTTTGATTTCTCTGAGGGCTTTTGTATTTGGGCCCAAGCTTGTTTTCAAGGCTACTCCGATACGTCTGGAGCCCATCTGGCTGTCAGCATAAGGATGAGGGCAGTGTGGCATGTGCCTCTGCCTGCTCCGCTCTGTGGCCTCTAACTGCCCCAGCAGTAGTCTCGGATCTGCTGTGTTATCCCCAGTAGTCCAGCCTTTATTTGTTTGCTGGGTTTTTTGTTTGTTTTGTTTTGTTCTTGCCCTCTAAATCTATAAAACATATATAACAAGAAAATTTCCATTTAACCATTTAAAGTGTGCTGGTTCAGTGGCATTAACATTTACTTTGCTGTGCAACCCAGACTGCCAGAATTTTTTTCTCTTCTCAATTTGAGATTCTGTCGCCATGACTGTACAGTCCCCCCCCCCCCCCCAACCCCCCCCCCCCCCCACACACACACAGACCCTGTCGACGATCCTTCTACTTTCTTCTGTAAGAGCTTGGCTACTCTGGATGCTTTGTAAGTGTTGGAGTATTGAGGAGGGCTCAGTATTTGTGACTGGTTCATTTTATTTGCTATATGTTCCTGGTGTATGAAAGGGACTGGGGAAGTCAGAGTACAGCTTGTAGGAGTCAGTTCCCTCGTTCACAGTGTGAGTTCTGGGGCTCAAACTTAACAACCTTCGGTAGCTAGGCTTGGTGGTCAGAGCCTTTGTCCTGAGCCATCCCACTGGCCCTCCTGCCCTTTTTAGGGTGGATGTTATTCCACTCCGTGTGTGACCACACCACGCTCATCTGTCAGCACCGCCGGTCTTGTTATTTTTAAATGGTTGGAATGTGTCAGAAGAGGGCAGAGCCCTTTGTAGTCTGTAAGGGCAGTGTCAGCACGACATGACAAGGTCAGAAAGCTCTGAGCTCCTGCATGTTGGGTGTTTATGGGGCCACGTAAGGCCAAGGTCTACACTTAACCTTCTTTACAAGAGTCGCTGAGTGAGGAAACATTTGAAATTTGTAGAATGACTTGGCTGGATGAGAGCTGGCAAATCTTGGCCTACAAAGCCAGTCTGCACGTCTGAGAATCCCAGGTCTCCAGTTAGCTGTGGAACCTTCAGCAGGTCTCTTAATGGCTGAGCCTTCGCTTTCTCAGTTGTCTGGCAGTTAGCTTTTGCTACAAATCAAACCACTGTGACACAGTTGCTTGAAACACTTATTGAGCTTATGCGCTTTGCCAGGCAGGTTTTTTTGTTGTTGTTGTTGTTGTTGTTTTTCCTTATCTTGGGCTTGGTTGCAGATCATGTGTGCACACGGTTGGTTGGCTGAGAGTTGCTCATCTTGGATGGCCTTATTTGTTAGACACTTGGTTGGTTGTCACCTGAGGGGTCAGAGGTGACTGTCTCTCATTTAACAGGATAGACTGGTCCTTTCCCATGTGTTAGATTTTAGGAGCAGAAAGAGTGTGCCCTTCCCAGATCACTGCTTGGTTTTACATCTGTTGATAGCCTACTGGCTGGTGTAGGTCACGTGGCCGGCCCCATTCCAGGAGGTGGAGAAAAATGACCTTCACCGAAGGCTTAGTAGAGGCAGTTATGTAATCTACCCTAGTGGTTGAAGTAGTGTCCATGAAGCATTATTTAGAGAAATGCATTATTATACATAATTTTTCTATCAAATATTGTATATCTGTGGTAAATCTGCTGCCTTAAAAAAGTACAGCAGTAGCTAGACAGATGGCTCAGCGGTTAAGCACAGGGCCCCAGTGGGGCCCAGTGACACCATCTGACACCTCACAGCTGCCTGTAACTCTGGCTCCAGGGGATCCAATGCCACACACATGCACACAAAATTAAAAATCATTTTTTTAAGGACAGCAATAAAAACCAAGCAAAAATACCAAAACAGCTAGGACAGAGTAAGAGGCAGGTCTTTGCTGGCTGGGAGGGGGTCTCTTAGGCCTCAGTCCCAGATGGATTGCACAAGTACAGCTACCATCCCATCTTATCCGGAGCATCATTATGTGCTGCAGATGTTCCTCTAACACGTATGAGAGCAAACATGTGTCCACGTTGGCAAATTTCCTCTTCCTTTTTCTGGGTATGTATTGCACAGTGGACTCATTAACTGAACTCATGGCCAGCAGCTTTGCATCTCCGGCTTGCATGACGCTCAGCCAGCACACGTCTCTGCTCCCTGAGCTGTATCGCACTCCAGTGCTCACCAGCACCGGAATCACTTTATAACTGCCCTTTGAGGCTAATTTAAATAGCAAAATCAGGAAAAAGAACAAAAACGTGGGGAAAAGTGGCACTGAGGAGACTGTTGGACTAGGATACACACTCTCCTTGTGAGAGTAGAAACAGGAGGCAGAGAGTCTGCTCAGCTCAGGTCGTGTCTCTGATGACTGATGCCGTGGTCGCGCCTTGCATGTCTCTCAGTGGCCTGGAAGCAGCCCAAGCACCAATTTGAGGTTCCAAGGACAGTTAGCAAATAGCTACATTTTTAGGTATGGAATCCAAGAGTGATGGGGCCACCTGGGCTAAGAGCCAGGGGCTCAGCTGTGAGTGTGCCAACCACCACACGGGGAATGACGTCTCTGTGGGATGCTACTGACCAGGAAAGCTGAGAGACCAGTGGGCTTGAGTCCTGTAAGCCAAGAGAGAGGCTGTGGGAACAACAGGCAAACAGAGGTCAAAGGGGGAAAGCGGCATGAATGTGGACATGGGTGACTATGTTTGCCAGAGCCTGGGGAAAGAGGCCAAGGGGCTGAAGCACCACTCAGGGATGGAGTGTGAAGGGCTAGTAAGAGAATGTGCCCAGGCTGCAGATCCGCTGGGGCCTGGCGGGGCCGGTTTGCAGAAAAGCACTTCTGTTGTGTAGTGCTCCCTGAATGGAGCACCAGTTTGTCTCGGTTTGCTTTGAGTCTGTCTCCGTGTGCTGGGGTTTCTGCAGCTGTGTGCCATCATGCCCAGGGCTGCAGCAAAGCACCACCTGTTCAAGCTCGAAGTGTGTTAGGTATCGCACTTGGTGTCATTATCTTGCCTTTCACAATATATTTATTTTCTGTGTATGAGTGTCTTGCTTACACGGATGCCTGTGTACCATGTGGATGCCTTAGTACTTTAGAGGCCAGAATTCCCTGGGACTGGATGGTTGTAAGCCACTACACAGGCGCTGGAAATAGAATTTAGGTGCTCTGCAAGAGCAGTTAAATGCTCTTAATTGCTAAGCCATCTTTCCAGCTCGCTTGTCCTCCTTATTTTACAAATGATAAAACTAATATTGGAGCCTAAAGA